TCCGTGTTCCCCGGGAAAATTTCGATTTCTAGATGGCGGGAAATGAGCTTTCCTGACTTCTGAAATGTATTTTAAGTTCTTCAAAATTCAAGGTTTTCCCTTCTTGAAAACAGTCAGGTAAATTTTTCTCATTTTTCATTTTATGTGTGCATTCATACATAAACAAATGAGTAGTTGCATGCGTATTCTTTTTGCCATGAATCGATAAATCCCAAAAAGAAAGGGTGGTCCAGGGGCTCTTCCCCTCGAAAATTTTGGTTCCTAGATGGCGGGAAATGAGCTTTCCCGACATTTGAAGTGTGTTTTAATGACTTTTATGTTGTTCAAAATTCTAATTTTCTTAATGTAACAAAAAAAAAGTCAGCTCACGGGTCCTGAAAAGGTAGGTCTAGAACTTTTTTTTGTTGCCCAAGGGAGGGGTCAGGACCCATGACCTCCTTCCCCCATATCCGCCTATGTGAATTGCGAGAAAATGTAACTCGGTAGGGTACTGGATAAACATTCTCTTTCCCATCCTTCTCCTCCTTCTTCCCTCCTTCTTTTCTTGCATTTCCGAATATACAAAAATCTCCAGACATTATATATTTTTTGCCAAAANGGGGGGGGGGGGGCCGGGTCCCCCGGCCCCCCGGTTCCGCCGGCCATGCAGTATTGCTGAAAATTGACTGGAGTTGCCTTTCACATTTAAGACATCTTGCATAAAAACCACCTGAATCAGTGCTTAATGAAACAGTTCTTGTAATCTTGAAAGCTCTGATAAGGGCTGTATAATAGAGGCAGTAGATCTAAAAAAGATCTATCAATCATTCAACTATTAATCAGTCAGCCGAGTGTTTCTAGAGCTCCTCATGAGGGCAGTATATTAGAGGCGATAGAGCTAAAAAAGCTATATTAATCAACTATTAATCAATCAGCCTCTTGAGGGCAATATAATAGAGGCAGTAGAGCTAAAAATAGATCTATTAATCAATCAGCCAAGTGGGAGGTAAAAACAAACGATTGAAATCATTCAAAAGTGGGGACAAAATTAGATCTGTCAGGGAAAAAATTATATCTGTCGTCGGGGAATTTTATTTATTAAAAGATAATAAAATGTTGTGTTAATTATGGGATTATTTATTTAAAAAGGATAAGTACGGCGCCCGAGACTTGCTGGAAATTCTGTAGGCTATCTATCAAATCAACTAGAAATTGCAAATTGCAAGTGAAGTGCTGCGAAGTACAACTGCATATAAATGTTCTTGTGAAAATAAGGAATAATAAAAATATAACAAATAATATATGAGACACGACCCATTGTCTATATTAGAACACTTCTCATTGGGTAACAAAGTCGTAATTTTTCATTTTTGTCAAAAAGTGTCTATAGTGGTGAATTATGGTTTAGGTTTTTTTAAATAAAGTTTCAAAAATTTCTATGTATGTGGAAAATGTAGTTGATTACCAAAGGTTACAATTTTTATTTTGAAGACTGCATGGTCTAGGAAGTGTAAAATTTTTTATGGGGCAAGTTTCCAAGGGCGGGTTTTCTAGGGGCGAGTTGACTGCCAAAGAGTGTTGCCAGCGTGTTATTTGATCACAAGTGCGAGACATCGCAAGTGTGAGCCAGCGAGCCATGACGTCACGACTAGATGCGAGACGTTACTCGAGTTGTGCGAGGTATCGGCTGAGATTGTGGAGTACAATTTAAAAAAAAAAACTATAGGTCTAATAATGAATTATTGTGATGTTAAATAGACAATGTTAGCTATACCTTCAAGGCTAAGCCTAAGATGTGTATAAGAGACAGGTTTGTTTGGTTGTTCTTGAATGATTGTGAGAATCAAGCAAGGAGCATGTTTTGCACTGTCTCTTATACACATCTAGATGTGTATAAGAGACAGGCTTCTTATTAAAGCCACCGCTAATATTAGCTTTCAGATAGACATTATAGGAAGGTACGATAGACTGAAATACCTTCTGGGATAAAAATCCTGGTGTTATCGCAATTATTAGGACATCCACTTAATCAGTGTCCATAGGTTAGGAAGATGAGCTTCATAATATAAAGGTGGACACAAGGTACTAGAGAGACAAAAGAATTATCACAAAATGCTTATTTCAGAAAAAATGCACTTTCGAACTTTCTTCACAAAATAGGCCTATATCACATTATATATGAACAAAGCTGTAGGCATAGGCTTGGTTGTTACAGCAAGGAAACCAACTTTGTGGGCTTCTGCTGTGCGTAGCATGATAAAAATAATAATTGCACTGATATTCGTGTATGTATAGAATTGGTTTGAGTAGCCAGTTATGAACATAGACGCAGGCCATGGGGGGCACGTGTTTCTTCCCCCCCCCCCAATATTTTTAAGGGGGTTGGTCCGCCACGTTCGGCCGCAATGTAATTTCATAATTAAAGATGATGCCTGAAAGTTATTGAAATTAACTGCGCTATGACCCAGGTTTAACGACAAACGGCGCTGTACAGCCCGAGTACAGAGTAGCAAAATACCGATAGGCCTATCACTATACGTCTGAATTCAACCTATACCTAATACGAATCGAGTGCGCGTGCTTTATTATAATTTGAGAAGTATGAGAAAAAGTATAAGATTTTCGGCACACGAAGTAGGTAAAGTAAAGTAAATACATCAAAAACAATTAATTTTTGTTTTTTATGGCACCAATACAGATTAAGTTGTCAGGGAACAGTGAAATTGTAATTTCACTGTTCCCTGATTAGATCTCTATGATAGCCCATCACTGATAAGATCATGGTGATTGTTATGATGATAACTTGTACTATATAAATGTGTCAGTTCCGGCCAGCTTGAGGTACATTTCCTGAAATTTTCGCACCTCAGCCTCAACCGATTGAGGCTGAGGTGGGTGTGGACTCACGGCTTTGAATTAGGTAAAGTAAAGTAAATACATCAAAGACAATGTTTTTAAATTTTAATGGTACATCACACAAATTAATTAGATCGTTATGGTTTGCCGGAAAGCGCTGATAAAAGAACATGAGAAATATTGGCGATGTGATGATGAATTTTACTATATAAGAGTGTCATTTCCGGCTATGGTACCTATTTCCTCAAAATTTTCATGAAATGTCAGATCTGCGCCCTTGGTCCTGAAATACAAGACTATCATTACACAGTCCTTCCTTGTGGTTTTATTTTATTTTATCCAACTGGGGGAAAAAACCAGAACAGTAGGTACAGAAGTGGTTTGTTATCAAAGCTTCTGAAATTTAATTCTCATAAAACATTTTTTTAGAGAACGTGCAAGTACAAAGGGTATAGAGTATCGCTATGGTTATAAGCAGTTTGATGTAGATTTGAGAGATTCTATTATTCTTAGTTACAGACAACAGAACTAGACAAACACCGTTGACATAAAACATTTTATGGGTTAACACACTCAAGACACAATAGGTATGATGCATCATGTTAATGGTGTAGGCCTACAGTATTATTTTAAAGTAAACATTATTGTTGTGACATTGTTTGAGGATGGGGCTGAAACTTGTTGGTTAAAATCCTTGACTTTTTGTCAACCAGATAGACCTAGATTATTTGGAGGTTAAATGGCAAAATTCTGGGTTTTTCTCACGTTAACTCCCTTCTGTATAATTAAACATTGAGGCCTAACATTAGAGAAACAATTGCCTTTACCCATGACTTCAACTATCCCAGCTATTTTTAAGTGACATTTTGAAAGCTAGTATTATTAGGCCCTTAAACATCGATCAACCTATGAGTTATTCTATTCTAGTTAGACTCTCCACTATCATTATTGCTGAGTTTGTGTTTGAATGTTAAAGAAATGAACAAATAATGTCCATTAGTTGCATCGAGTCGATCGTGGTTCCACGCACAACCCACACAGGTGCTTTCATCCTCGCGTGAAATATTCGGTTCGATCTAACAAATTCGTCAAGGACGATACGTCATAATGATATGATTTAAAATATAACTTGTCAACATGTGTGAGAATTCAATGCATCGAAGCTGCACGAGTGTAAATCACAGAGGTGGCTATTATTTCGCAACATTATGCGCCTAGGCTTCACTAAACGCCTTATTAACGCGTCTATGAAATTAATAACTTTCATGAACAATTAACACGAAGTAGGGCAATTACGCTCGCTTCAGCGTTTTGAATACTATGTATTCTACACCATTAATTTTGATTCTATTCAATTTTTCCGTTTAATTGTGGGTGAGTTGTCTCCAACTTTAGCCTAAGTAAACAGGGCCTACTCTTGAGCCGTCAACCCATTTTCTGGGTATTCAAAATTAATTAATTCTTAAAACTATTCTCGAAAGCTGTTAATTAATTTTTCCACAGCTGCGTTGATGCTTAATTAAAAAATTTGTAATGATTTTTTTTTAAACAAAGTGATTAACAAAGGTAACATTGTTTTCCAATTAGGTCAAGGCCTACAGTACTTACGAATTTAAAGGCCCATTCCCGGCAAAATTTCACTAAAAAATGGGTTTTTTTTAGGGAAAAAAAATGCATATGCCTATTATAAACAATGGAAAATTATTGGCATAAATTTTAGTTTTAAGCAAAAGAATTTTAAAAATGAGAAATAAATGAGAAATACAGACTATTTCTCATATGAGATTACCATTTTCTCGACGAATTCTCTTAATCGGTTAATTCAGAGGTTGTAGATCGCATCCGCTGGAATGCTCTCGCTTTTATGTATACTTTATACAGTCATTAAAGTGCGCCCTCTGTATTGAAATTAGTTTTTGTACTTCGCATCTCGCACAGTGCGGTCGATAAGATGAGATATGTTTGTTTAATTGTCAAAATCCTGGTCAGAATCATTTTTTTTAGAGATTTGAAATAATTCCTATGAAATATTATATTTCACAAGTGTCAATATAGCAACGGAAAATATGTCGGCCGTTTCAATGTGTGATAACAGTTCAACAGAACCTAAATCGAGGTAAGGCTAGGCCTAGCCTAGCAGTAATAAATGTTTCCGGTGCCTAATATATTTCTTCGCAGAGTTGTCGCAAAATCAAACATAAAAAATCACCCGCATTTATTTTTTGTGTGGAACACAAAAAATTAATTTCAGTCTTATTTTACATTTTTTTCTTGCTTAGGAATGTCTAAATTCAGTTAAACTAGCAATTTCGTATTATATTTATAAATCTTTATAATATAAAAATCAGATTTTTTTTACAACTGAAATTTTGCCAGGAATGGGGCTTTAACACATTGGCCTATTGTCTGGACACTTTAGCTATTATTTTTATCATAATTTATGGTCATTATATTATTATGTAGGCCTATCTTTATTTTCTATAGGCCTATTAATATTATTATTAGGTCTATTATGAAAATAATATTGTGTTTAGGATCGATCATTAATATTATATAGGGCCTATATTATGTTATTAATTATTTTCTTAATTCATATTGGAAAATATAAACTATTATAAATTCATAAATTATGCAGCTGTATTTCGTAGTTGTAGCCTACACTTGCTCTTGAGTGAGCAATTATCGTAATGTTGGTCTGATTACAGGAAGTCTCTGATTCAAATAGAAATCCAAGATATTGACTTTACCTCTTCAATCGATCGTCGTTGTCCAGATATTACAGTATCAGTGGCGTATCTACTGGATGCTCAGAACACAATGTAGCGACAATGTGCGATATGAACAAGATTAACTCAAAGGTTTACGCGATCAACAATTATGTATACGCAATCCTAAACGCAGCTACTGTACACGTTTGCATGATAAGAAATGACATACCACATTTGAAATGAACTTGATTAATCATCATTATAATTGACCTTTCCGGAGTGTCAATCAAACTTAACAACTGACTAATCAGAACAACGCTAGGAATACGCGCGCGTCTCACAAACACACGTGTTGTCCCACAAACGCACGTGTTTGCGTATGTTTTAACATTGTCGTCTTGTGGGACCTTAGCAACAATATCCAATGGGCGGCGGGGCTTAGCGGAAAGGTCCATTGATATCGTAATCGTATGCTAATGAAATACATTAATGGTCTAGTAAAGTTCAGGTACGATACATTTACCGTACTTCCTAAAGTGTACTGTGTCAATATGACATCATCTGTTATTGACATGATCGATTTGAAAGTAGGATCCTCCCTAATCAATCATGTCAACATCGGAGATAACATCATTTCACATCAGTAATTTAGCCTAAGTAATTTTACGTAAACACGTTTTTTTCAACATGATTTGATAGATTGCCCACAGAAAGGCTCTTCTCACAATATCGACCAATGATTTCATGAAATGAAAAACGTCGATGATGGATCATGGAAGAAATTCTGTTAACTGGTGAATAGCTTATTCACATTTCCTGTCATAAATGAGATAACCTGCATCACATTCACAGTAATTACGGTATCATTTATTCTGCGTATTTTGCCAAAATATTCTTCTTCGTCCTGTTGATTATCACGGAACTATAGTACTGTATATGCTGTGCATTTCGCTTGTGTCCTTGGGCAAGGCACTTTATCTACATTGCTTCTCTCCACCCAGGAGTATTAATGGGTACCTGGTAATACGCTATATAAATATAACATATTATTATCATGAATTTTCTTACCACAGCCCCAACCATGGTGGCCTGAGGTGTTCTCCACCCTAAGTCTGTGATCCCCTCTATTCAATTCCTGGTTCCGTCACTATCTTGTAATGTATCTCTGTACTTTTATGCCTAGATACTGGTGGCACCACGATGTTCACGACAGGGGTCAAATGTCTCCTACGGGACAGACGATGACCCCGACGAGAGCAAAGTGGGCGTGGCCAGGCGTCGCTCAAAGCCTTTCGAAGGTGCTCCAGTGGGCGAAGCCCCCGAATAATAGGACAATATTAGAGGGTCCAAAGGCTCAGGTTAAGCGATTAGACGAATCTCTCCCGATGAATTGTAGTTTTCTCCATGACTGGGGGTGGGGAAGGAAAGTCTCCTCAGTGGAGACCATTTCCCCCGGCCTTCCGCTAACGCCCCCCTGTGCCTAGATTTGTTATTCAATGATGCGATTATCACAGATTACAAAATATATCATAAGTTGTTTAGTCTGGTGCTAGCTCCGTTTATGTTATACTGTATGCTATCAGATTTTAAAATCAAGTGATGAGTAATTTTGCTAGGTCTGGTAAAACCGTGTTTTTAATAGCCCATTATAGGCCTAAACAGGCTTCTATGCCTATAATTCAATGCAGATAGGCCTATATTAATGTACTTTAATATTGTTTATGGGAATATGATTTAAATTTTGGTTTCTTGATCTTAATAATAATGCGTGGTCTCTAAGTACATCTTTGAAATATTTTATAGTAGGCCGCTATGCCGAAAATGTTATAACAAAAAGATATATAAAGGCAACGTATAACTTGCCGATAAATGTTGTTAATTGTGTATTCTCTTCTATCGTAGGACCTGATCGATATGGCGCGAGCCAATAGCCTTTCTCCCAGCCGGAATTCCAGACGTCCGTCACCCGTATTGAGTGAAGATGACTCTCTGTATCTATTTTCCGAAAGTACACATGCATCAAGCCTTATCCAAAGTCTCCAACAATTACGGACGGATAGACGGTTTACGGACCTCGTACTTATTGTGGATAAAAAGGAGTTACACTGTCATAGATGTGTTCTTGTTTCAACGAGTAAGTACTTCGAAAGTATGTTCACCAGCGATATGAAAGAAAGTAAGGAAGAAAAGGTGCTTATACAAGGTGCTACTAGTAAAGGTTTGGAGCTTATTATAGACTTTGCTTATTGCGGATCGGTTAATATCACACGGGAAAATGTACAATGTCTTCTAGAAGCCGCCGATTTCTTTCAAGTCTTGCCAGTACGAAAAGCTTGCATAAACTTTCTAGCAAGAAATATTACCCCTGAAAACTGTTTAGATGTAAGTGTTTACGCTGAAAGACTTGCTTCTGTAAACCTAACAGAAAAATCTTGGAAATTTGCGCTTGATAATTTTAAAGAGGTTAGTAAAAAATCTGAACCGCTTGAGCAGACTTTCGATATAATTTTAAAGTACATTAGCTCAGATGATCTGATTGTTGAAAACGAGGAACTTGTATTTGAATTCATCATACGATGGGTAAAATTTGATGAAGAAACGAGAGACAATTACCTCCCAAAACTCCTCGAACAGCTTCGGATACATCTACTTCCCCCAAAGTATATCGGAAGTACGATCCTAGCCGAAGGTCTTGTAACTCGATCGGATATTTTTGCCAAGTTTGCGCAAATTGCTGAAGAGCACCGTGTGCATAATGATCAGCTGTTGCCGCGGCAATACAGAAATACGCGCTCCAGGAGGATTGTTGTAGCCGTTGGTGGAGTAGGCCCTGCTAATATGAAAATGAAGGAGCTAAAGTTTTTTGATCCAGTTGAGCGGAAATGGGCAACACTTACGGAACTGCCGAAATCGGGGGAGGCGGCATGTAGTGCTGTTGCTCTGGGAAACGATATTTATGTGACTGGTATTCAGGGGAAGACTGCCCTTTATAAGGTACGTTATACCATTTAACCTGTCCGGGTAACCTGTAAATGTACCTCCCTCATATCATGGTGGAATGTACCTCCATGCTCATATTATGCGATGGTTCGTAATTTCATAGCCATTCTATTATGGCTTTTCTGGGCTTACCTATGCATTTTATTCTACTACTGTCGTTAATAGGCCTATGAAACTTTTTGCTGTCAACAAAATAGGAATATACTGTAGGCATGTTATAATCCTAATCCACCAATCTGTCTACCGTACCTATACTCTCTACTATACCTATACCGTAACACGCCTATATTCATATTTGTTGACATCCAAAAGTTTCCTATGGCAGTTGCAAAATGAGCTGCCTGTAGACTGTACCCGGTAAAATCTAGTGGGATACACGACAATGCCCGCTCGTTTCATCGTCTTTGGCGTTGTAATGAAGATCCACAGATGACTCCGAAAACGAAATTTTATAACGATGAGAGAGGAGGTTAGGTAGACTATTAACTAGTAATACAATATGCTATTGTATGCCTACTGCTACTAAAAATACAACCTTTTTTTCAGATTCGGCGAAATAAATGGTTTGAATCGTCTGCAATGATTCAATCTCGACAGCGACACGCGTCAGTGGCATTAGGAAACTACGTGTATGTTATCGGAGGTTACGATGGCCGGTCACGACTATCTAGTGTGGAACGTTTCAATCCTAAAGAAAACAAATGGGAACAGGTAGGCTTACTTTTTATTGAGGTTTGTATAATATTACTATCAATAATTGAAGTTGCACATGCCCGGCATATATCACTGCCTCGGCGACGGTAGGACGACCCATGGCCCACTGATGTTGAAAATATAGGCCTATGAAAATATAGTGCGATAAAATTTATATTATAAAAAGATGATCTCATGCACAGAGATGATTCTTAATTAGCGTTTCAAAACTATATACATTACTGATGGTCTTATTATGCTCTGGTAGTGAATTCCAAGACTTGATTGCATTATAATACAAAGTTGATTGTCATAGTATACCATTCAAATGTGGTATCTCAAAATTGTATCGTGGTTTCCATAGAATTGCTACGCAGTCGCTACACAACTTTTTCACTGCAAACCTTGCACCGCGTATGCCTGTCCCCAGTGCAGTTGGCAGCGCTCCCTGATTCAACTGACCAATCAGCGTCACCAAAGGAGTCAGCGATAGCGTGTAGCGATTTTTATGGAAACCAGGCTTGAAGTCTGTTTTCCACTAAGCGAATTTATTCGCGCGAATCGAAGGCGTCGTTTCGGTTTCAGCTTCGCAAAATGTAGAAACGGTTCGAACTACTGAGTTCGCTGAAGCGAAATCTCCAATAGACATGTGCATGCGCATTAACCGACGCTTTCGACTCGCGCGAATAAATTCGCAATTGGAAAGACTTAAAGCCTGTTTTCCACTAGGCCAATTTATTCGCGCGAATCGAACGAAAGCGTCGGTTCGGTTCCTGAGCTGGAGATTGGTCGCGTACTTTTTCGCTTCGCAAAAAGTAGAAACCGTTCGAACTACCGATTTCGCTGAAGCGAAAACTCCTGTAGAAATAGTGTCAAATAATGGAATGCAAATGCAAGACCAGTGTGGCCTATATTCTTGAAGAACCTTGTTATCGTGTTGTTGTTTTTAATTTATATGGTAGAACTAACCACATCTGTATTACGATTATATACAGATTCTCTAATGGGTGTTAATGAATTGATTGATTTTTTTAACAGGTTGCTCCCCTTTCCGAGGCGCTGAGCTCTCCTGCTGTCGTTACGTTCCAAGGGAAAATATATGTTCTTGGAGGAGCTCTGACGGGGGAGTCTGCTTCCAACAAAGTACGCTGTTACGAGCCTAGCACCAACACATGGACCGAAGTCGCACCTCTACCTCACGCCTTGTCAGGGATTGCCGCCGTCACCGTAAACGAATACATCTACGTGGTTGGCTGCCTGTCGCAGATCGTTCATCGGTACAACCCAAAGACAAACCTTTGGAGCCAAGTAGAGAGTATGTTCAGCACACGTGCGCTGTGCGCCGCGACTGTATGCAATGACAGGATATACGTAGTGGGTGGTGAAAGTCAGCCCAACACACCAATCGACAACGTCGAGTGTTATGATCCAGTGTCAGATCGATGGACACAATGTCAAAGCTTACCATATCCAATCAAACTCCTCGGCTGTGTGACGGTAACGAAGAGAGTTAATGCGATTTCGTCACCAAAGTAGGCCTATTAAGTATAAATGATATTTCTACCTCCATTATAATAATAGCAACATAAGGAAGTTTGAGGCAATAATATTTGAAAATTGTCAACAGCCAGTATTTTTTACCAAAGATATATGTGGGATGGGATTCTTATCCATGTGAATTATATAATAGTTTAATTGTTAATTTAATGGCGGAGCGGTTAAGGCAGGGGCACCGTGATCATAGCCAACAATATAGGCACGGGTTTGCGGCCGGCTCGCTCCTGTAGTTCTGGTGGTGGAACAAGTCTTCTCGGATAAGGACTATAAACCGTAGGCCCAGTGTACACAATGCTCATGTGCACTTTAAAGAACCCAGTAGGCCTACATCTTTTGAAATGAGTAGGGGGTTACCCCGGTGTACTGGTTCACTCGGCCCCTGCCGTGGACAGATGAAAGTGCGCCAGTTGGACATGAAATGACCCTGCGGTGGACATGAAATGACCCTAAGAGGAGGAGAAAGTTATTCAAAAGTGCAACATCTAGTCCCGAGCGCATAGAGACCTCGTTTATCTGCGCTATATAAATCTATCTATTATTATTATTAATGTACGCCTAAAGGAACGTGTGTGGTGAGGGGGGGAAAATGTGTGTGTTTCTGCTGTGTGTGAATTATTCAGCGTTGTACATTATTATATTATGAGTTGATGCCATTATAAAATATGAATAATCAATAATTATTATTATTTAAAAACAGAATTAGAATCTTAATACTTCTGAGTGGACCCTGGTCTCGCCATCTTGCGCTTCCGTCGGCAAATCATGGCGACACCACTGGTCTTGGTTACTTCAAGAAACCAGTTTGTGGTCAAATCATGAAGTTATTAACAGATAACTAGCTATGAGCTATTGACTGAGCCGTAGCAAATAACAAATTATGCATGATGGATACAAATTATTCGCCGTGTTTTTTGGAAATGACAACGCAATTTAAAGCAGACAGATCAATTTTGTATCTTATGAGTTCTATGGCGTCATCGTTTCCTAGAGCACTGTCGTTTTTCATTATTTTTCCATTTAATATACTGACCCAGATAGCAAAGTGCTACTAATTTATTCTGATTATTTAATCATTATTCTGGAAAATGGCAAATTATGCCAGCTAAAACCATAACCATCATCATATTTGTTACTATCGTGAGAACATGAGGACTTTATTTATCACATTTTTTCTACATGATTCATTCATGATTCATAAATCAAATTTTATGCTTTAGATTTTAATCAAAGAACTTATTTTTGTAATACACCATTTTGAGCTGCATGCAATATTTAGGCTGCTTTAGCCAACGATGTACCGGTATGTACGTCATTCAGAGTGTGTTCGCACCAAACGCCGCGCGCCCAGGAGGATAGTACCGGTAGTACCGGTACCGTTCATTTTCCAATCAATGTTGAGGTTATCCTCCCTCAGGCACGTAATAATCAGTTTAATGCATTTTATCAGCTGTCATTATGGAAATCAGATGAGTATAAGTTATTGTTTGTTTCAATAAATATGATATTTTAAGTATATTCAGTGTATTTGTGTAATATATAGGATTACCAACAAGAATAATGATAATAATGATGATGAGGATGATGATGATGATGGAGATGATAATGGTAAGTGGATGATGCTGTTGATGATGCTGCTGCTGATGATGATGATAATGATGATGATGATGATGCGATGATTGTGAGGATGATGATGGCAATAATGAGGATGATGAAGATAATGATGATGAGGATGTTGATAAGGATAATAATGATAATGATGGCGATCGGATGAGGACAATGATAATGGTATTGATGATGCCTCATCATCATGCTGATGTTATTAATGATGATCTCTTATTATATTTTAGTTTTAAGTAATCGCCTCCCCTATACCCATACTCAATTAATTTGACAGGGCTAGAGTTCTTTTGAATTCACTGCGACAAGCTATTCAGCGACAAAAATCTATAAAACTATTACACAAATCTATATTGTTATTATTAGTATTATAATTCTTAATAAAGAAAAACAATGGTACAGGGAAGTTCACGCTTCGATAACAGCTCCTGAGAAAACAAACACTGCAGGTTAAAAGCGTCCCCTTGTTGTGGGACTGTAATCACGGGTGATATGGTCTTTGTGATCGTGCATACAAAACTAGATACCAGGACGTGAAAACGTAGAAGACAGTTCATAAATGACTGTGACATGCGAGTATTATTGAGAGGTGCCTGATCGTCTGCGTAAATCCAGTTTCATCTCTTTTCCAAGTTCTCAGTAAGTTCATGGAAGAATAGGCCAACACAATTGCACTATATTCTATTGTTAGAAATTGCTAAGATAAGTTTTTTTGAGAGACAATTGCTTTGTTTAGGACTCGTGTTTTAATATCATTTGAATGGAATGCCTTATAGTTACACCAACTCGAATGACGGTCACTTTGTTAAATATTGTTTTCATTCGACATGAAATCGTCAGTGTTATAGCAAGCAGACATCAATATTCTGTGTCCATAACCTTTAAGAAAATGATTCAAAAATTAAGTTGATTATTTTCTGCTTATAAGTAGGCCTGATCTATTCTAATAGCTTTTAATCAAAAATATTACGACAAACTATTTTCCTTTAAAATTAACAGTTATCATATAGGCCTACTGGTCACATCTAATTATTTATGCATTCAATTTACTGGGGATAGAGCAATTTCACTGTCCCCTGGATAGAGCAAAGAAATTACACTAATTCATATATGGTTCGATCCAGCTGTATTAGAAGTTAATTACTTATTGGATATTTTTAATGAGCTATTAAATTACTTTCATAAAGACCGGCGATCTCTAATTAATAACGATGAATGGAACAACCATTGCCAAAAATGTTTATTCGGATAACGAGGACGTTGATGATGAAGACGAAATGCCTATTGGGCTGTGCATAACAAGGTATATTAATAACGACAATTAATAAATTTGACTACGGCCTTTGAATCATTCTTTTATACGCTCAATGAAAGGATGTCCACCTTTTCCGGGAGTAGTCGTGATTTGATAAAACCACCATAGAGCGACAGCAACAACTCTAAAACATTATGTTTTTGTTTCAGTAAGCTAGGTGGTACTCTAGGTGTAAACATGGGCAATATTGCATTTCGGGAAGAAAAGATGACGACCGACGAAACGGTAGCAACGCTTGAATCGCGATTAAAATTGCTGGAATCTAGAGTCTGGAGCAGCAATACGGAAAGTGAATGTGGTGAGGTGAGAACATGTCTATTTGCTTTCTTTTCTTACAATAATTTTTATTTTTTGATTGTGATGTGCTATTCATTTTGCAATCAACATCGGAGAAACGCCCTCCTAGAGCCTAGGCTAGGCCTTAGTAATAGTATAGCCTAGTAGGCTACTGGCATGGCTAGGCCTAGGTCCTCACCCCCATAGTATGCATAGCCAGTCTAGGCCCTTGGCCTAGCCTATGCCTTGGCTATCTCTAGTCAGGCCTAGGCCTATTTTTGAGAATTACCCTAACCTTTTATCAACCAAAATGCTTTTGGGTGTCTAGAATAGAATGATGCAGGGCCTGACCCTAGCAGAAGGAGGCAATTGAAATTATTTAAAAAAAAAAAAGATATAATAATAGGCCTAGCCTAGGCCCTATGTGGTACTGTAGTAGTAGTAGGCCCAACTACACTAGGTCCCCTCCCTAGCTAGCTAGGCCTATGCCCTAGCCTACTACTAAGGCCTAGCTTTTGGGGGGGGGGAGCATAATGATGGCAAGAAGAACCAACCAACGAACCCAGTACAACATTGTGTTGCCCAGACAATGTGTGCCCGAGCAATGCATTTTTTGCCCTTTTTATACACATGCAATAATTGGGTACTTTTTTGATCTCTTATTTATATGTGTGCAGTTAGTGGATGATATACACAACATACGGAAGAAACTGTATAATGCTGCTTTAGGGAAAGAAAAGATACAGAGCTTGTGGAAACGTAGTAAGTCTCATTTTATGGCTCTTCAAAGGCGCAAAGCTCTGGGAAAGCTATTGTTTACATCTGTTGTTTTTGCTAGTAGTAGTGTAGGTTGCTAGTGGTGCTGGTATTGATGGTTAATTTTTGGTAAGGATCAGAATAACTTTAAATTATTGCCAAAAGAAGAAATTTTCTATTCGATAAAATTAAAACCTTGCATTTAAAAAACATTCAAGTACATTCAAAATAAATACAATGCAATACAACGGTACATCACTATGTTAAAACATCAGATTTTAATAACTTAAAAATACTAAAACATTAAAAATCGAACAAAAAGAATGGCGTTATTGTTGGTGGTGGTGTAAGCAGATGGATATTATAATTGTTGTAGCAATGGTTTTTTTTTGGTTTTTTTTAAAACTATTATTATATACTAATGCTTGCGGTACACCACGCAGGTACTTCTGAAAAGAACTGTTGTTGTTGGTTGAGTTGTTGGTTAATTTTTATTATCATTATTTAATTATTATTATTATTATTATTATTATTATTTATTTCATTTTTTTTTCTGGGAGTAATGCATCTCTAAGATGACAGTGGTTTTTCTTTTGCTGCTGTTTGGCTCACTTAATTATTCTTATACTTTTGTTTAGATGTTTGTGAATTTGCTGATTTTTTGTATTTGTAATGTTTCATATTATTGTAATTTGTTATTTGTATTGCCATAATGAGTAAAATAACAATTTTAAAAATAATAATAATAAAATAAAATTATGATAATTAGCCTACAATACTCATTTACATTATATTTAAATAATCAGATAAATTACACTTTTTCAGAACAGTACTGTGATAATAATTATGTTGGGAGACTGATTTTACTGTGTGTAAAAGAATAGCTTAACTTTTAAAGTTTAAGGCATATTCATTTGATCTATCATTTTTACTTACTGTATTCATATTGTATTACAAACGTTTCTAGTAATGTGTAACATCATCATATGGTTTGTAATGAAAGCTTGTACAGTACAGTAGTGTAACCATTATTCTAACCTTTTCAATATATTTTTTATATGCATAGTAACTTCTATTGCAATTTCAAATGTATTGAGAAACCTATAAAATTGGGTACAGTATTCTGACAAAAAAGAGTAAGTGTAGAATTAACAAATAAAGAATATATTATATTGTATTTCAGTGGATGAGTTGAAATTTTGTCTTGATCCAGAATCCATCGAAAAGATGACAATTTTCGAAGATGCAAAAGCTGATATAATTCTAAATGGTAATTTATAAAATAAGCAAATGTCATTAATTGCATATTATTATTTTATTCTTTTGTAGCGACAGTTTGGCGCAGCGGTTGACGTTTGGGCTTTCAATCGTAAGGTCGGAGGTTCGAGTCTCTGCTGTGCAGATTCGCTTGTGTCCTTGGGCAAGGCACTTTAGCTACATTGCTTCAGTCCACCTAGCTGTATCAATGGGTACCAGCAAACTGCTGGGGACTAACCTGCGACGGACTAGTGTCCCGTCCAGGGGGAGTACAACTCTCATCCGCTTCACACTACAGAAACTGGGGATAAGCTCCAGCCCTATGAGCCCCAGTGGCTCGGAAAGGATTTAGTTAGTTAGTTAGTTATTTTATTCTTTTAGTTAGGGATGAAGAAATTAGTGTTTTGAACTAGCAATTGCTTTTTTTCTGAGCCATGTATACAAAAACATTGCTGACAAAATCAATCTGCAGGCAAGATTACTGGAAAATTGATTGTGCTTAGTTTAATTTATTATTACCTCTACTTATTGCCTCCAATTTTTATGTATTTGTTAATGTTTTGTCAGTTTGTTAGCAGTATTACACAAAACTAATGAATAGATCATCATAAAATCCAGTATATATCAATCTAAGAATTTTGGGGTTAAAATGTTAAAGGTCAATGTCAAAGAAATTTAACAAATTTTTTAATCTTACCACTCAAGTATAAAATAAAATAATGGAATAGCCCATAAACACCCTGCATGTATTATTCAGATTCAGCACAGGGTGGAGGTGTATTCTACAGTAGGGAGTGACTTCATTTTACTGTAGTTACTATTTACTACATTATTAAGAATTTAAAAGATCTAGGACCTAGGTGGTCCCAAGAGGGAGACCATGAGCTGACAAACCCCAACACAAGCTGTGGGAACCCTCATCCTGATATTTTTAAGTTACTCGCTCTGAAAAAATTGAAAATGAATAATTTATGTCTCCGCAGATGAAGCACATCTAAGAGAACAAGCAAAGCAATTAGAAGAAGTTGAACAACTTAAGGATGTCCTGGACAGTGATCATTTGAAAGGTATTTTCATAGACCATGTTTCTAGTCAGACCATGTTTCTAATCATAGACCATGTTTCCAGTCACAGACCACGTTTCCAATAGGCCATGTTTCTAATGTTGCCACCATAGACCTTGTTTCCAGTCATAGATCATGTTTCCAAACAGAAAATGTTTCAACCATAGACCATTAAAACAATACAATGAATTCATAGATAAAATAAATATAATTAAATATCACTTAATTTTAAAATTTCATTATAATGTTCTTTGAGTGTACAATTTGAACTTAAACAGGAAGTGAATTCCATATTTGAATGGTTGTTATTTACAGTCATGTACTATGTTTCAAATTATCATCATGATCATCATCATAAGTTGCTAATGTACTGACCAAACTACTATGCAATCCTTATTTACATAAATCTAGTTTCTTCAAATTCAACGGATCGCCTGCAGCCTCTTATCACAGTGCAGGTAGACCAACAGGTAAAGTAATAATTCACTTTAATGTTTTTTTTTATAATAAAAAATATGTAGAAAAAGATTAAGCACATATAAAAAGACTAAAGGAATCCACAATATGTAATGCTTGTTTAACTACAATGATTAAGCAAAAGAAATTATTTAAAACCAGATTATTACGGTATGTCAAAAAACCAAAACCAACTGGTATGCCTTATTTAGCCTTACAAGTATGTAGTATCCTCTCTCGGTGGATGAAACAAAGTGACAGAATTTTCCACTAATTAGCATACTAGTAAACTAATAAATGAGAACTCTTATTCATTTATTGCTGTTAAAAATTCATGCAAATACATTAAAGTGTGTATTGGCTGATTCTAATTCAATTGATTCTTTCCAGTATTCCAAACTTACTTTTTTTTGTCGTTAACTTGTAAGAATAGCTTGTAATAAAAATAGCAGTTTACCAGTGTACTATACAAAGCCAAAGACCTTTTTAAGAAGAAAGTAAAAATTACAGTGGATTAACCTAACCATGGAAAATGTGTTGGCAAAGTTGGTTTTGAACAGGCACATATTTCTTTTTCCATTTTTAAAGAACAACTTTACAATTGAATCTTTCTGTCTGAAAAAAATGTCATAAATTCCATCCTCCACTTACACTGACAATGTCTAAGGATTGTTTTAAAATATCATTCAATGAATAGTCAATAAAACATATAATGATAATAATCAATCAATAAATTCTATAATTTATTTTCTTCTTTTTGGCATCCTTAATATCATTATTAAAATAAATTATTAAACTATTCAGATAAATTATTCAACTGTTCAATTGCCTTTTTACTAATTTTGATAAGAGTTTGTCTTATATCATTCTGTGTTTTTATGTGAATTTTAGGTGTTTCATATTGTCTAAGAGAAAACAAATTCCCAGTGGAATGTTGGACAATAAAAGTTATTTTATCTTATCTTATCTTATTAGAACCATTCGTTTTATTTCTCAGGATAAAGCAGTCAAATTAGATGAGGAAACTAGAAAGCTCTTGGAGGCCTACAACAACATTGTATCCTTTACAAAATATTTGTGAAGATAAAACTGCAATAACTTTTATATTTTATATCAACATTATAAAGCCATACATGAAAAAAAATAAATTCTTGTTTCATCATCGACAATTTCTAGATGAAAAGATTTTTGGAAATAAGAACAATTAAAATATTTTGTTTTATTATTTAAACATGTTTTTGCTTGTATCATAACATCACATAGTACTTACCAATCATTTTTTACAATCATTATTCTTTGATTTACTGTTTGTGTATTTCATGGTCTCTGTAGTTATAAGTGGAGCCTGTGTGTATCATTAGACATGCTGGTTGAGGCTTTTTGAGTGTGGTATCGACCATTAGATGTTTTTTAGTATTGTACTTGAAATAAAGCAAATGTGCAATATAAGTGTACCATACTAGCAAAATATATAGATTTAACTATTATCAAAGAGTATAGAAAGGGACAGTATACTCGATGATAGCGCGTAATCAAGTGGTATGCTCTTATACATTATGGGAGGATGTTTGCTGCTATTGGTTGTCACGCTATTGGTTCCAAGTTGTGCCTAGGAGCACATTGTGTTGGTTTCTGTTTTCCACAAGATACATATCCTTCGTGGGGGGTGATGGATTAGTGACTATTTTAGAAAGCATTAATATCTAATCTGGGGGAATTTTCACTCAGACAATAACAGTATATCGGGCTTACTTTCAGGGCAACGATGGCAACTTTCATCAGAACTAGGGGAGTGACGTACAGTAGTTTTAAACTGGACTGTGCTCTCTTCTCTTTATATTATCTTTGCTATTTTGTTACAGGCTGATTTCTGCCAGCATCTTTATATACACTTGAAAGGTTCATGTCATTAAGATATCACTAATAATGAAAAAAAAAAAAAGAATATTCTATTCTTGGAAATGAAATAAAATATCCCCTAAACACTATTAACATATTAGCATATTATTGTTGTTAATTATTTTTATTATTATTATTATTATTATTATTATTATTATTATATCTAGTCCCAAGCGCATAGAGACCTCATTTATCTGCGCTATATAAATCCATCTATTATTATTGTTATTATTATTATTAAATCAATAGTTTATTATTAAGATTTGTAATTTAGAAGTAATTTTAATATACTTTTAGTTAGATTTGATATTTTGCAGAAATATACTTCAATATACATGTACAGTATCTTCTTTTAAAATGCAAAAACATGAAAATGTTCAAAATTCTGATTCTATAATATTTTGGGTGCTTGTGGGAAATTAAAAATTATGACTAACAGAAGGTTTTGCCAGAGCCAGTCACATATTATTATTATTAATAACATATTATTGATGTGATTTGTATTATGCTCCATGACCTTAGATTTTTCACCTAAAATTTAATCTGTACTCCTCCACTATGATGATCCATAGATACATACACTTCTGTGATACATGATGAATAAATATGGTGCCAATAATTAACAAGATTTTTTTCTACACAGCTTCATGAAAATCAATTTCTGACATGTAAATTGGTTCAAAAGCACTGATACTCTCTGTAGATTTGAATTAAAACCTTTATCTTGAAAGTCAAATGCTTGCAACTGCCATATGCTACTTTGTAATACTTTGCATACAGACTGGCCGTCGGTTTTTATAATTTTTTTTTAAATTTATTTTTTTTTAATTCCTTGAATTATTTGCGTACAGCATTATAGGCTATTATTATTTAGATTTGTAATCTTTGAATCTACCATTTTCCCACAATGATACTGACTGTGAATCTCTTATTTACAATTGAAAAGAAAATATTGTTCTTAATTATCCGTCAGATCTCTATGGTATCAAAACAATTCGTATTGTGGGATGAAACAATCACTGCACAAGAAATCAAACAAAAACTACGGAAGAATGAATATGAATATTTATGAATAGCGCCACCAATACTTTGAGTGGTTCCCGTCATCATCGTATAGCTACACACCTCATTTATGTTGCATGTCAAATATGCTGTCAAAGCATGAAAGTAATTAAGAATATTTAGAGTGGAGCTGAACAGCTTAGTAGTTAAGATGCCTTCCTTCTAACCCAGTGGCATCTGCGTTTTTTTCTTCTAACAACTAAAAACAACTCCACTTCCTAAGCCTCATTAGGAGACTTAGTTTAGTATGCTGTCTCTTATACACATCTACCATTATTATTATCAAGTCGAGCGGTAAGACAGGGTGCGCCGCAAACTACAACCTTAACATCGGCGCTGGTTGTAGCCCAGGGTTCGGTTGGTAGAACCATGGAGGTATTATTGAGAAGATCACTCGGCAAAGCTACGCGCATGCAGCGCTATGCAAATGACCAAAGATCAAAGTTGCCGCAGCGCGTAAAGAACGTTTGCGCGATGCCTTTGAAGTCCCATGTGTTCCCCGCCATCAAATTTTCAGCAGGCATAGTTGACCAAAAAATTTAACATGACGAAATGGAGAGCACCTTCTTTTCTCAATGCGCACTACATACTGTCAATCACTATGGCTGCGCAATCTTTTCTACTTTGAAGCTGATACATTTATCTCTCATAAAATATCAAACATATTAATATTTTCCACCAAGAAAAGTTTCGAATTTAATGGAACATTTACATGACCTATAAAAGTATAGTATATTTCAACTTCAATTTTTATAAATTGGCCAAAATTCGCCAATTCTAATTTTAACAGATATTAATTAATAAATGATTAAGGATTATAATAAACTAAGTCATTTTAGGGTTAACGAGGGTTAACTATTCGAAAAATGTTTCCAAAATCTGAGTATTTTTCAGTTTTACGCTGACTTAGCTTTATAGTCGAACAAGTCAATCTTTAGACAAAATTATAATGAAAACAGAAGTAATTTTAACATAAATATTTTACGGAATCCGTTCCTGAAATATACAAATAATAACATACCAAAAGCCCGAAAAAATCTAATCAGGGGAACATTGTTCATTATAAAGATATGTAATGGGTTAAAATCAAACGTTTTATTGCACAACTGCTCTGCTGGAAGCGTATAAATGCATGTCGTTGCCAAGTTGTTGCTAACGAAAAAATGTGAATTATAAGGTAATACCGGTACGCCCGCGCGCGATCCAAAAGGGATCTTTTGCCGAGTGATCTCCTTCTCAATAATACCTCCATGGTAGAACCAAGACTTTTCGTATAAGGACTTAAAACGGAGGTCTAGTGTGTACACATCTGGCTCATGTGCAAGAACCCATTGCATCTTTCGGAAGAGAAGGGGGTTATGTTACCCCGATGTTATGGTTAATTTCACCCCCTGTCGTGGAACGTGAACATGTAGCACCATAAGTGACTATGGCGGCGCGGATAATCACGGACTACGTCCATGCGAGTTATGGGTTATTTACTTACCGTACCTCTCTACTACCCATCTACCTTTATTATCATATTGGTCATTATTGTTAACATTATTTTTATTATTACCATAAAATTGTTGTTATCATATTGGTCATTATTGTTATTGTTACCATAAAATTATTCAACAGCATAAGGCCTACTCTTTTATCACGTTATCAATATCAGTTTTATCACAATTCTATTAATGATTATCAACATCACCTTCATTTTTATAAAGCATTTATTTTTTTATCTTTATATAGCATTTTTTTTTCTCCTTTTTATAGCGTTTTTTATGTAGCATTACTACACATCACGCATCACCTTTTTCTAGGTGCGTCTAAAATGACCGGGTTCTGAAATATTACACATGATTAGCTGTTGACGGGCGTGCGCTTGGATTAATTTGTTCCAGTTAGCAACATATCATCAGGGAGCTGGTATGCACTTTAATGATGAGTAATACAATTATTGATCTCTAATCGATATGTGATGAGGTTTGTCAACAATACAATTACCAAGGCTTAGTAATAGCATGGCTTTGATTTTTATTTCTTTTTTGTTATTACACCAAATTTGGAAAAGAGTGGACAGTGTTGATCTAGAGTGGGCGCGGGGGTCGCATGCTCTCCCCTAAAACATGATTGACCTTCCCTCAGCACCCCATAAAAAAATATTTGAAGCAGAAATATCACACTCACAAGTACTGTAGATAAAAAGCACCTTATATCACCTTATTTTTGCAAGCTAGCAGAGCTCACTTAATAATCAATTCCCCCTACAATTCACCCCATCTCCCCTCCCCCTACACTTCACTCCATCCCCATTTCAAGACTCCTAGGTACGCCACTGAGGATGACCATAGTGGGGTGTAATTTTTTGTTTCGGATCGGACACACATACACCTCGTCGCCCGACGCTAATGATGGTGTCGGGTTAAAAAAATTGTTTTTCTTTCCTCTTCATGTCTTCAATATACTTTACCATTCTCACAATAGGTGCTTTAATTTTGCTACCCGTAAAAAAATTATGTGGGATAGGGATGGGGACGAACGTTAGCTGACCAAGGTCATTTTAACTCTGCTGGAGTGTATTTTTGCTGTACAGCAAATTTGCTGTGGGGAGGTTGGCGTAAAGATTTTTAAGGGGTCATGCGCCCCCCCCCCCATCCGTGCCGATCATCTATTGATGTGGAATTCACTTCAGTCTCCCTGTGGCACGAGAGATGAGCCTAAACGATACGTTTGCTGGTTCGTAATTGTATTCTGTTTTATGACTAGAATATTCCAATCTTTTTTTTAGATTAATGGATACTATTGCTTAAATTTATCATTTCCATGATATCGACTTTTTTCGTGCACGCCGCTGCTGAAAGCTTAATAACCAAGCTAAACTGCGTACTGCATCATTTTTTGTTTTGTTTTACCGAATGCAATCATCAATAAAGAGTCAATGACGTCAGGCGGACGAAAATGTCATTAGCCACCATTAATGTTTTCGTGACGACAGTGTGCTATTTACGTTGTGTTTACCGATGAAATATTGTAAAAGAACACGATTTATGAGTCTGCTGCAGGTGTATTATTCAATTAATTGTTCTTCTTTAAACCTTATAAATTGAGTTAGTTTCTATTTTAAGCTGTTTCTTAATTTCACAGTCCATATAAGCTATGCTTATTATTTTGACCTACGTGGATCTATTTTTAAAATTGCATTGCGTCAACAAATCGTAATTGTTGTCTCGTGGCCAGTGTAGCGCTAATTGGGCACGTGCTGGATCTCGGTTGTCATAATTGGTTGATGTGTTATTAATGATTCATGACAGTATTATTGCCCTTGTTGATACGAGTTCCACGAAAGATGTCACTAAAAATAATAAACAACTTGTTATTTGACCCTCCAGATTCGTCTTTATAATTATGTTATATAAACACTAGTAACTGTTACTTGTTACTTGTAGAGGATTTTTTTTCCCGTTTTTCGTTAATATCGTTATTTATTACCGTACTATTCTCCGTATTTGTGGCGATTTTGAAAACAAATTTAAGATTGTTATTAAGCCTAAGACATAGACTGAATAAAATTGTTTTCTAGCAGGCCTATGATTATTTAAGCTTACAAAAACAGAGCAAAAGTACTAGTAGGCCTAGTAGTGGCGACGGTAGCAGTAGTGACCTAATATAAGGTATTTTTACTTCAATTAATATTGAATTTTCTTACATGCTACTGCTGTATTCATATGGCCTGTTATTATTAATTATTATCATTAGGCCTATTATTATTATTAGGCATATTACTTAAAAGTATTAAGTAGGAAGTACTTATTTTTTTTATTCTTTTTTTTTATTTATTTATTTTTTTTTTGTTTAAATATATTGAATTTTAAAAAAAGGAAGTACATGTGATTATTTCTTTTTCAAATATATACGTTTATGTTACGAATTTTCACCTTTTGTGATACTTCTTTCTTGAAGGCCTATGCCGTGTTATATTATGGAGTATATTCTTCCTCCGAATTTTAGAGCTGATGTGATTAACATACAATGGAAAGAGTATTTTATTTCATAACTCATGGAGTGGCCGTATTAACCCCATAGCTCAAACTGTGCTTCGCTTGAGCATCAGTAATGAAATTCCTGTATATATGTCATGTCATAATTGTGACGTTGCCAATTATTCGTGGTTACAAGGAGGTCTCCATCCCAACTGTTGCATCAGAGCACAGTGGCACACGTGTCATACTTCAAAATGAAATCACCTATTTGTAGTTGATACAGATTTATTTATTTTAATGTTAATTATAGTTGCGGACTCAAGGAAGCCAATGAGGACCCCTCTCCTAAATTGTTCAAGTTATTTAAAAAATAGAGAAAAAAATATAGGCCTATTCAAATTTAAGTCTGAGTGCAATTTCCGCCATCTAGGGGGTGCCATAATCATAAATTTTCTTAACTCAGCCTCAATCTTGGATATGGTGGCGTAAAACCAGGGATGTGGTAAACCTATTAATAGAGCCCGGATGCAACATTCTTTTGTAACATCGTCAGAGGAATTAAACAAATATTGTATTGATTGCGCCACTAATTTGCCACAAGTAATTTCGGTGATCACAGTTCCGTGTTGTTAGACCACGGAGGAAATTTTATTAAGACATCGTGTCAATAGCGAGTATACAAGGAAGTAAAATGATAGATTTTGACTTTTTTTGCATTTTTGGCGGAAACGCAAACAAGCAAAACACTTCTTGACATAATTTGAAGCACGTTGTTGCCTGCCTGTTGCAAGAGGGAACTGGCTGGGTACTCAACAGGCGTAATGACGGAAATTGGTGGGGAATTAAAGTAGAAAATAAGAATATAGCGATTACGACAATTCATCTTGGCACTAAGCAGGATTTTTAAAAAGATAATTTTTAATTAGGACAGCATCCGTACTGAAGTCAATTATTCAATAGTATGATAATAAAAATTAGGCCTATGATATAATAGCATATCATGCTGTGGTTTAAATGCAGTTTCTGGTTTATTTCTTATGTGGAAACACTTTGTATGGTCGGCCCTATGGATATCTGTTGTCAACCAGACTGAGTTACATAGAGGTAACTCTGACACTGACATCAAAGCTGATAAGAGGAATGGGGTGATAACACGGGGGTGATAAATAACTAAATATTTTGGTTTGTTGTCGTAAAGGCCACTGTATAAATATAGGCACTCGCCTATGACGAAGTTTAAAGCAGTTGTGTTTATATTTAAAAACACTACCGGTAACTAC